AGACAACCTGAGATTAAACTTGTATCATAATCACCTAATAACCATCTCACACGGTCTCTCTAAATTACTTTATAGGCAGTGAGTATTCGAACAAATAGTCTTATTTTGCATGTACTTTAAAAGTATTGCACATGCATCATTAGGACGTGACATTTTACTTTCTAGAAGTTCACCTCTGGGAAAGATTCCAGGATCCATAAAAGTGGCCATGCAGAAGTTGGCGAGGGTGAAGAGGAAGATTACGGCATTATATATAGGAATGACAGAGGAGAAATGCTCTGACAACCATGGGCACCTGGAGAGTGTTAAGGAGGATGGAAACAAAATTACAGTTAGACAAGCTTCCACCAATCCCCACACTTAGTGGTAAGATGTGGAAAGGAAAAAAAGTAACCAAGTAACATTTCACACTCCACCATCAACTTCTTATAAGCTTATGTGCAAGCTAAACAACTGCCCACAGAAGTTGCTCAGTGGCAGAAATAGGAGACTGTGTTTGTGTTGGGGAGGTGACAGGTGTGGCTGCGATAAACTATGAACAAATGTTCCTGAAAAGCTGTCAACTTACTTTGAAAAAACATTAAAAGAACAGCAAAAAAAAAAAAAAAAAAAACCCTACTTATTTTAACACTGAACATAATGCATGTGGATGTTTACACATCGCTCCAGCATGTACAAACACATGTGTATGTACACACATGTAGGCCCTTTAAAACCCATGTTTGATATGAAACAAAACCAAGAAACACTCACGTGAAGCAGAAGAAGAGCGTTGTGGCTCCGACAAGGAAAGTGGTGGCTGCAGACACCGGGACGTACCGGCTGGGTCGAAATGGACGGGGAGGAGCAGAAGCAACGCCACCTACTCCTCCCCCAACCCCCCCACTGCTGAAGCCAGGCATCAGAGATAGAGAGAGGGTGGAGGAAGACAGAGAGAGGTAGCTATCTACTGTCTACCTGCTGTAAAGGGGTGCTTTCCAGGTCAAAATGGCATATGTGGCGTTCGTCTGGGAGGAGGGGCCATAGCTACTGACTGGAAAAGAAAACCAACACTATGCAAAGCAGCAAATAAAGGGAAACATTAGGGGTTTTCTGTGTCCAGAAACTAAATGTCTCCCAGTACTAATATAATCACTAAAAACAGATTTATTTATTTTTACATAGCAATATACAAACTGCTGTGTACAGCTTGTTGTAAATATTTGTGTGCATAATCTTAATAGAAGCTTATAAAAGCAAAACTATACAAGAGCAGTGTGATACAAAAATATGTATAGGTAATTCATAAATATTTTTGTATGGCTTTAATGGAACTGTATTTGGTGCAACAATATAAATAAATCTAATCTTCTACTGTTACTCCCTGGCACCAGTGCAAACGTAACACTGCTGTGCATATACGCGAAAGGACCAGCACTCACGCACAAAACACTGGAACAGCTCAGGGTTTACATTAATGCTCCATCACTGGGCTTCAGTTCTGATTATCCCGCTCAGTGAAAATGAAAAGACCAGAAAAATTAAAGAGGTAGTGGGTGTACAGTCAACAGGCCGAGAGCAGAAGCACATGGAGGAGAATAGGCAGAGGATTGAGCGCAGCAGCTGCTGATGACTTCTGTGATCCTCCCGAGAAGGCTTATTTAGGCACTGGGTGGGTGGAAGAAACTGAGGATAGTGGCAGGAGGGAGAGTTCCAGCATTTCAAACTTAGTCCACAGGGGAAAACAACTAAACAAACAAATTCAGTTTTAAACCAGTTGTGGGAAGCCGTTTAACATCAAACTAAAGTCCAGCTGGGATTTGTTTTCAAAAAAAAGCTGCTATTAAAAAGAAAATAAAAATCATTAAAAAAAAAAAAAAAAATGTCTAGCCTTTTATTTACTAGGAAAATAACTCAAAAAACCAAGTGGAGTCCCCTGGATCTTCTGAGACTCCTGTTGTCAGTCTGTGTCATTAAGGGCACAAAACCAACTCATTCCACATGGAAGTCCCGTGTATGTCACCGAGGTGTCACCACTTTTTGCTGGGATTGGGTCTTCCACCTCCAAATTCTCTGCAGGTTGAGCTCTTTTCCCATACTGCGTCTCCTAAAGAAAGCCACGTAGAGTTTGGATGTCACATGGTTAGATGGATTTCACACCTTTTTCCCCCTCAAATAAACAAACCAAAACCTCCCCAAAAAAAACAAAAAGATCTTTGGCTCCTTTTCTTCTTTCACACTTGGGTTCTTTGTGCAAGTTGCTGGACAACCCTGTAAGAAAAATAAATCACACAAAAACTCAATGAGCAGAACAAAGACAGGACCAGAACGAATTTGTTTCAAATAATTGAAGCTTTAATGAGCCCTTGGTTCAGATCAGTAGTGTCCAACCAGTTTGTTCCCACAGTACACCTACATTAATAGTCCCACAAAGTCTATATAGCAAGGCACTTCTATCTGCAATTTTGCTTCATTGGAACACAGCATGCCAACTACAATTTAGCAGTTTGAATCACACAGAAAGTAATCTTTTTGCCCCTCCTGCTATCAATCAGACCCTCTGACCTGTAGAAATATGGCAAATTAAAATCTTATTATTTTTTTGTGTCGCTAGAACAATATTTGTGATGACTTCCGCCTCATGACAAGAAGGTCCTGGGTTCAAATCCAGTTTGAGACCTTTCTGTGTGGAGTTTGAATGTTCTCCCCGTGTCTGTGTGGGCTCTTTCCAGATACTCTGCCTTCCTCACACAGTCCAAAGATAAGGATGAGATTAGGTTGATTCCTAATTCTGAATTAGCCCCCTTGCAATGCTGAAGTGAAGTCCTACCTGCCTTTAGGAATACCATTTTGGAAACCCGGGATTAGAGTAATGGGTTTTTGATAACCACTATATTTGCATTACATTTATTATCTTTGTCCTATGTGGTGGCAAATTAAATCTTTGCATCTCTGACTGCCAATGCATAATACATCTCATACCATAAGCGTGGAATATAGAATTACCAAATATGTTTGAAAACATGTATACTACAATGTTTTGCAGGTAGCCTTCAATGTATTTCCTTGTTAAATCACAGGCCAAAGGTCTTAGTTTGATTTCACAACAAACCAGACTCACTGACCAAGTTCCTCCTTTCTCTACAAGCTTGCCTTAAGCAGTGTGGGTATTTCACCATAACCCCGTCACCACCTCAGTGACCTCAGGTTGTCAGATGGAAATACCTTCCACGAAGGGAAACTGAAAACAACACACAGACACAACGATCTGTGGAAAAGGTGCACGCCTTTCACACACACAATCACGCTCATACTCCTTAACTCTTGTAGAAAAACTAGTCTGTGAGTACACTGAAAACGGATCCGAAGCAACAGTGTAATCTGATCGTTTGGAAACACCTCTCTCGTCAACAACCATCCGTACTAACAAATGGCAGAGAGAGGTGTCAGTAGGTAATAATCGCACTTGCCCCAAAACTACCCCCCCACCACCACCACCACTGTAATACATGTTAATCCTAAAATCTCCGTGTCGAGCATTGCTTATCATGTCACAATCTACACATCGCATGCTACAACCGGTCAAGCAAATTTAATACATTTTCCTTGTAACAGTGACATACTCGCGCTTGATTTTTGCCGTCTGCTTTAAATCTACACCCATAGACAGACTTTGACTTCATCTCAAAATGAAACGTTACACATACCAACCGTTAAACAGCAGGCCAGGGCAATGCTAGGATTCAGTCAAGACCAGCTAACGTTATCATAATCAGCTGCCAACACCGTGAACCTCATAAAAATACACACACCACTGTTTTAAATCCAAAAGCCGCAGAGAAGTAGTAGCCCATGCGACCTACAAAAACCGATTAAAACACGACCCATACTTGGAAATCACAAGATACTGAGTAGGTAATCATACAGTGAGCTTTTTACCTAGCCTAAAGTTTTTTTGCGACACTGTACGATCCTTTACCACAGCTATAAGAGTTAGCTTAACATTAGTTATCTGGCTAGCATGAGAGCTGTACAGTAGCAAATAGATTTTCATTAACAACTGACGAAACAACTGTGGCGAATTTCACCTGAAAAATGGCTAAAAAGAAGAGGTAAAACACACACCTAATCATGAACACACGAGGTTGCTTGCTTGTAGGGTGTGGGTCGATTCGGTCCTCCTTGAGTTAGCCGCTAGCAACCTACTTAGCTCGCCTGCTAGGCCGTAGGAATCCCGGAAGTAGCCCGTCAGGCCTCAGGTGGGGCAACCAGCCAATCACAGACATGGAAGGCGTCGACTCTGGGAAAAGAAAAACACTGTGCGTGATGGGCCAGTATTTTTTTGTTTGTTTGTTACTAGAAGTAATTCTATATAGATTAACCCTAAAACGATTATGTATTATGTTCTAGGAACATGTGAGTACTTTCATACACTTTCTAAAAGACAATAAGGTACTATTTGTATGCAACAAAACAAACAAGCGCTGCGTTTGAATGGTGGAATGAAGAAGTACTGGCAAGTGTTCAAAATGTTGTGCCAAAAAGTGATCGTCTACCAAAAACTGATTTCCGGTATTTGTCAAAAACTGATTGCTCGTATTTAAACTGCTTTAAGTAACTTGTTGGGCTATAATATGTGAAACATATGTCAAATGCGTCCCTCATGGATGACATAAAGTTATCTTGAGCCACAAACAACATTCGTGCAAGAAGGTAGAAGCCGCAATCAGTTTTTGGCAGTGACTTTTATATAACCTTTATTTATGCAGTTAAAAAAAATCTCATTAACATTAAAAATGTAAGTTGGCCAAGAGGACTCCAGAAATAGCAGCAAATATTACAATAGTTCTGTAAAAATACTTTAAGTGGGGATACAGGACCAGATTGGTTATAAAGTAAGTACAATAAAATAGTTATAAAGATACTTGAAACACAGATAATTTTTTAATTCTATATTTTTAATTCTATAATTTTTTTTATATAAACAGTGTTCACCGAAGTCTATTTACCAACATACATAAAGATATTACACGTAAAAATACACAGAAACGCTGGAAATCAGTTTTTGGCACGCAATCACTTTTGGCACAACAAATGGAAGAGGGTAGCGAAGAAAAAGTGGGAGACAGACAGTAGACAGGAGTTCCTAGTGGCTAGTTGGTAAAGGAAAATGCTTATGAGACTGGAGACTAAGCTGGAAAGGATGTGCAGCAGTTTGGATGGTTAAGAATAGAGATGGAAAGATACTTATCAGTGAAAGAGTGTATTGAGATGATAGAAGGAGTTTAAGAGCTTTGCGGAAAGTTAGTGAATCAGTTGGTTGGGTTCATGGTCGGGGTGGGTTTATATCAGGGATCTGCTCTGAGACCCTTCTTGTTTGTAATTGTGATGGACATTTTGATATATGAGGTAAGCCAGGAGTATCTGTGGACTATAATGTTTGCAGATAACATTGTGATCTGTAGTGAAAGTATGAAGCAGATAGAAGAGAGCCTGGAGAGAGAAGAGGAAAGTTAACAAAGCAAGATAGAATACATGCATATGAATGAGAGGAATAAAGCTGTAACAGTGAAGCTGCAAGGAGCACAAACAAGAAAGAAAGAAAGGGCAGTTTTGCTTGAAAACAGCTTTAAAACCTAAATTCACATTAGTGTGGCAAATCCACCGAAAATGCTTAAAACAACCCACCTGGAACATACCTTAGGGGGAAAAAATGCTATACACCAAAAAGAACAACTGCTGTTTAAAAAGAAAACAGCAGTCACACCAGATACTGATTTCTATATTTTTTAATAAGGAGTTTTATTTGCCATAAGCTGTTTGTGAAAATATTTTGACGGTACACCTACTTGAAATGGTTTTACACGGTTTCTTTTCCACAAAATTCACAATCTACGTTCCAGATGGCCATCTCAACCCTCCACAAAAGACCCACCTACGATTAATCCACACCCTGCTGGTTATGACAAATGGTTAACACTGACATGCATAAAGTAGGTGCAAAGAAACACTACATATGGCAGGCAGGGAATAGAAAAGAAAAATTAAGTAATTTAATAAAACAAAAAGGTTCAGAAAAAAAAACAAAAAAAACAACACAAAATATTAGCAAGAAAAGATTCAAAGACAACAAATCTATCCAATATTATTTTTTTGAACCACGTGCTTACATTTAAATATCTACACTTATTTATTATATACTTAGTTTGAGATATTTGCACGTATTATGCATCACACAGTGTTGTTTTTGTGTATGCTTATAAGTCATGTTGTCATACATAGAAACGCTGTTACTCTAAAAAATTAAAAGAGCATCTGGTATGGTTTGGTAAGCTGGTAAGTGTTTACAGAACAAATATTAAATGACCTGCTAGTGTAGTGCTCCCAAACAATCACTAGCATGCTGGTACTGTGTGTGTTTTAATGAAGCCTACAGGTTATTATTATTTGCCTTTCTTTTGTCAAAACAGAAGACCTACTGAATAAAACATTAAATTTCTTTAGGAAAGGTTATGAAACTTCAAAGTATTCCCAGGTTTGATTGGATTAGAATTAAGTTCATTAAGTGTGTTCCATCCTCAGCTCACTACATATTGGGTATGCAGATAATTAAATTATTGTTTGTTAGTAAGGGAAACATACTGATAGATAGTCAGATAGTGTAATTAAAAACAAACTCACACAACTTTTTACATTTAAAAAATTTATTACTCAAGAGAAAAAAATCTCTATGAAACAGATTATGAAGAAAAATATTTTATCTTTGCTTTGATTAAAAAAAAATCCTTTTCTACAGACATCTGTGCAGTGTGGTCTAGAATTTACAGCTGCTTTCAATTTCTATTAGGGATGCACCAATTCCCAGCTCATGCTAAAATTGATAACACAACAAATTGACCAACGGCTAGTGTAGAGAGTAATGTTTTTTTCTTATTTAATTCCCTCTTCTGTGCAATGAGACGAAAAATCTTCAGTATAAAAAACCCTGCTCCCCATCATCTTATTGTTGAATAAGTAGAAATTAAATCATAAAATGTATGAAACAGGCTGAAAACTGGATTCACATGAACCACAAAAAATGATGCATTCCGAATTTCAACACTTAAAATGTTTTCTCTGTAAAGTACAAACAAGATAGCCTTAAAATAAAAAGGGTACCCAGCAGGACGTCTTCGATCCAAGTCCTCTCCTCTGAGGGCCTGCTTCATTTCATATCCATGAAGCGAATGTCCATGATGAGCAGAGTATGCCTGGGCAGGGGTCTAGGTGCTGGGGAGAGCACCTTCATCACCTGTGTCTGAGTATCTACATGAGTCACCACAATAAAGCCACACACAGGACTCTCCACTATGCCCTTTCTAGCACCTTCATCTCCGTCTTCAGCACTGCTCACGCTTAGGACGTGGTATGTGAGGTCTCTTCCTGGAGTAACAGGCACCAGTTTTAGCTGTGTGTCATCCTGGGACATTCCCAGTGGCAGGCATGAGTCCGGGATGGATGGAGCGCCAATTTTATAGATGCGAACGTCTGAGAAACGCACTTCGTAAGAAAAGGGGTAGAAGGTGACTCCACGGAAGCCGTAGAAATACTCGCGGATCTTCTCATCCCGAGTATCCCGCCGACACTCCTTGGAGCGTTCCACGACTCCCCCGGACTTGGGTAGGAGCACAACCCGCACAAAGTGAGGGAGGTCTCTTTTGAGTTCATTGTAGAGCCTTTCATGGTCCAATACCAGAACCACATCCACCTGAAAGGTTGACGCACAGTGGACCAGAGCCTGGTATCCAGAGCCCTTCACCCAGCCACAGGTGTTGATGATGCAGCCTCCTACACTGGCTTTCCTGTTCACTTCACAGCGCTGGGAAAACACCTCAGCCAGGCACGATGTCAGCTGCATGTTGTGACAAAAAGATTTAAATGCTCAACTGGTAAAGACAACGTACGAAAAATTTAGAGTTTTGTCTCCAGACTATGTCAGGAAGGGTCTAGACTCATTCTTTTTTTTACCTTGTTGTAAAGTTTGATGTTGGTCCCTGGACTAGTAGACCCAAAGTGGTAGACCAAAGGAGCCTGGACTGAGAAACCCTCCTCCACGTCCGCTGGACGCTCGATGCAGAGCGCTGACACTGTGCCGGGTACAGACACCTGAAGGAGCAGAATTTTCTTTTACCACTCAAACTGATAACAACTGCATTTTTTAAAATTAAAATTAAGGTCTTTAGATTATCCACAAAAAAACAGAAAACCCAAAGCAGATTAAAACAAACAAACAAACAACCCCCCCAAAAAACAACAAAAAACAAGATACATGATACCATCTGTGGAAGCACTAATCATGCTGCATCATATGAAGAAAGCCACTTTGTCTGTGTCCCACATAAAACAAATGTCCTGTTCAGCATTGTTCAGATCTTTACAGTCAACATAGAGTGCAATCAAATGACTAACACAGATACTTTATTAACAGACATACTGTAATTTACAAACTTTGACCAAACTGCTTCATATGCTATATTACCAACAAAGGCACGAACACCTATCCCCTTATTGTTCCAATAAGTATACTTATTAGGTGATCCATTCCTAAAAAAAATACTTTGTATATTGACAATTTTTTCTTGTAATTGTAAACAATTACATGTTTCAGATTAAACAAATTTTAATATTAGACAAAGGTAACCTGAGTAAATGAAAAAAAAAAAATTGACAATTTCATTTATTAAGGGGAAAAAGCTATCTAAACGTACCAGTGTGAAAAAGTAATCTGCTCCCTTATTGAATCATCAACTATGATTAACCACATTTTCTGGAAACCTGAGCTCAATTTTACTAGCCACACCCAGGTCTGATTACTACAAGACCTGTTGAATCAAGAAATATAGATCCTGTATGACAATGTGAAGTGGGCTAAAAGAAATACATTGTGCTACAATCTAAAGAAACAGTTTAGAAACAAACTCTCTGACTTCTATGAGTCTGGAAAGGGTCAAATTCATTTTTAAGGCTTTGGGACTGCAAAGTAAACCACAGTGAGAGCCATTAGCCACAAATGGAGAACACTTGGTATATTGGTGAACCTTGCCAGGAGTGGCTGGCCAACCAAAATTACTTCAAGAGCGCATCGATGACTCATCCAGGAGGTCACAAAAGAACCCAGAACAATATCTAAAGAACTGCAGGCCTCATTTGTCTCTGTTAAGGTCAGTGTTTTTGACTTAACAATAAGAAAGTCTGGGCAAAAATGGCATCCATGGGAGAAATCAAATGAGAAAACCCCTGCTAAAATGAGAAAACCACTGCTAAAATAAGAAAACTACTGCTAAAATGAGAAAACCACTGCTAACCAAAAAGAACACAAAGGCTCATCTCACATTTGGCAAAAAACAACTTAATAATCCCCAAGACTTGTGGACTAATGAGAGAAAAGTGGAACTATTTTAATCAGCAAACATGGTGCTGGTAGTACGATAGTCTAGGGTGCTGTAATTTATGGAACCTCTATGCTCTCTATGAGAAAATCCTGAATGAGGGTGTCGATCAGTTCAAGCGGACTTAGCTTATGCAGTATAACAATGATCCAAAACATGCCACCAAGTCCACCTCTGAATGACTCGTAAGAAAACAAAATGAAGACTTTGGTGTGGTCTACTTAAAGCCTGGACTTAAATCAAATTGAGATGCTTTGAAACCCTCCAGTGTGGCTGAATTAAAACTACTGCAAAGAAAAGTGGTCCACAATTCCTCCAAAGTAATCTGAAAGTTATTCCCAGATATCGCAAATACCCGATTGTAGTTTTTTCCTGAAAATGATGGCATAACCAGTCACTAGATTTAGGGGGCAAATACTTTTTTCACACAGGACCAGGTACGTTTGGATAGTTTTTCCCTTTAATAAATGAAAGGAGGAATTCAGTGCTCTCAATCCTGTGTAGAATTCTTTGTTCTTTACTGCAATGACTTGAATTAACACCAGTGACTAAACAACTGAAAGACTAATGTTCTTTTTCTTTGTACAGATATTAAAACAGATGTCAAGATTTTTTTTCCAGAACTTGTGCATCTGATAAAACAGAAAAAGCCACATGGGCAGACCAACAGGGGGATCATCACAGCTATAAAGCTAAATAAACAAAGTAGATGCTGTACATGCTTTAGCATCACTTTGCACAAAATCAAGACAGCTGAGTCTGCAGGCTGTGATATGCAATATTTTAAATACCAGCCGACTGTTTGATATTTATAATGGTAATTCCACTTGATCTTACCCCACTCTGTCCAACATCCAGTTCCACAAATGTTGGCCTCCTTCCAACCCTCACAGCATAGCTGAGAAGCAGCCGACACACCGTTGACTTCCCAACATCTGTCGGTCCCACCACCATCACCTGAGGGTCGATTTATAATTTAGCATTAATCCAAGAAGCACTCATGGGATCTGATAAGTTACTATATGAAGTAGTTCCCCATTCAAACATACCCTTGGCCCCCTCTCATTGTCACGCTCTGCTTGTTTTCTCATCTGTTCAAGGGCTGCATGTGTGTTTAGGTAGAGCAGCATGGGCGTATCCTTGGACACATAAGCAACCTGCGGTGATGAAAGCAAGATGATGGTATTTGTGGCTTTGTCTTTTTTCCCCCCAAAGTGAAACACACAATGATGCGACTAAATGTAACACAACAGACACATTTGAACTCTCCTAAATCTGCAAGTATTCTCATCCACGTGCTTACCTCTGGCTTCCCATAAAGATTCACACTACAGCCTTGCCAAGTGAAAACTGCAATCTTAGAGCCTGGTCCAAATGTATACTTTTTGTTTCGGTTTAGCTCGGAGCCAAACACCTCAGCCATTCCTGTGAGCAGCTCCAGCTCAACTTGTTCAGCTGCTTCCCCTGACTCCACCTCAAAGCGAAGTTCAGTCTCCTTTTCCAGGTCATACCTGGTGCTGGCCTTTCCAGCTGCTGGAGCATCTTCACTCGTCTTTTCCACCCCCTCTGTTGCCATGACTGTCAACGAGAAACTTTAGGTTGCAATAATTTGGCAGAAGTAGCATGCTGAAAAGAAAAAAGTTACATGCATACATAGCGTAGTAATACAACAAAACATTCCACATAGCTTCTCTAATAAAGCAATGCTTAAAGGAAAGTGTGTTAACATGGATCTTTATTAAGTATTTGCATTTTAAAGTCACAAGCTAACCACTGTAGTTTTACAACTTTTTAATAACACTAATTGTAACTCTAGCATTACCCCTCACATTATTTTTAATTTGGTGTTTTAACATTGTATGCATAAAAGATAAACTTAATCACACAGAGTAAAAGATGGAATTGTTTAAATACTGTGATGTGATCGGTGTTTTCCATCTGCAGGATTAGTCAATCTGAGATCATGAGTCATTTTTTGAACATTTTCTGCTCGACCATTTTCGACTTCCCTAAAAATGTTATGCTCCAAAGTTGGTCCATATATTTTCAACATATTTATTCTCTGAAAAATGTTTTCTATATACGATGCTAAAAGCAATCATAAAATACAACAACTCCAGCCCTTCCAGCAGAAGGCCCACGATATTCTGAAATGGAAACACACTTCAGTGATTTTGTCCTAAAACCACGGCGGCGTAATTAATCTTGGCTACCTGTAAAGTGAAACGGATAAGTCAAATTATAAAAACACAACTGATTACGTACAATGATGGGTTCAAGTAAAGTTAAGAGGGAAACCCCTTAAATCAACAAACCAGCTAGCGGAGCCACGGCTAATTCGACCTTTCTAAGATTAGCAAAGGTCGAATCACTGCTTACAAACCCGCCCAGACGATTCTCGCAACGTCAAGCAAAAGTCTAAAACGTATTAATTTGTAATATATAAAAGTTACGCACCAATTTCAAGACTTATTGTAGAAGGAAATCGGTCCCGTGCTCATGAGGAACCGTTGAGTCGACTTGCCTGGTCGCGGGACAATGACGTCACATCCTGGCAATTATTCAAACAAAATGTTCGTCTGCCAAAAACGGAAGACTTTGAATCCTTTTTGTGTGTCTGCTATCCTTGTTTATATTTAAGGCAAAAACAAAACAAAGCAACATTTCGCAAACACTTGGCAGACGATCGCGTTTTCGGTGTCATTGTGTGACGTCCTCACAACGCGACTTGTTTATATTAGCTTGGCATATGACACGAAATTCATTGTAGCTTCTACCTTGTGACAGGAATGTTTTGGGGGGATCAAAATGGCTTGATATCATTCACACAAGAGACATTTGACAGATTATAGATTACTAGTGATGGGCAGATGAAGCCCCATGAAGCACTGAAGCTTTTCATCCAATTGGTTCACCCCAACGCGAAGCTTCATGAAGCTTCATTTGCTCTAGCAGGACACCTACTGGACGTAAAAATAATAGCTGGCATGAATTTGAAGAGTGTGGCATTTTGCACACAGCCTGTAAATGTCAACAACAAAAGGAGTGTGTAAAACATCTATATTGTAGTGATGGCAGTATACTGTGTATATTTATAGTGGCAGTATGGGAAATGATTATTTGGAAATGCTTGAAATGGAAATGATCATTTACTGTGAGGTGAGGTGTGGTTGGGGTGTGGACAGTAGTTGTGCTTTTGTAACGTTGAGGTATGGACAGCTACACACTACCTCAGTCCTGCCTGTTCACATTTTATTCTGTAAAAACTAAATTTTCACTGCTTTTACGTCCTTTTTAGTGGGGAGAACATAGCTGGGATTTAATGATTTAACAAATCTTTTGAATCCTTTGTCCTCCACAATGCTAAATGGCTGTGAGTCCTCAATCACCATGCTGACCAGGTCTTCATCTATTTGAGATTGTTCTCCTGAGGAAAGATAATAAAGACAAAGCACAAATATAAATATCACACACGTAACTTATAACAGTTGTATAATATTGTTATATCATTTAGTAACATTACTGCATGCTATATTATCATTGCATTTGATGGCTCACCTGGTCTTGCTCCACAATCGGTGTTCCTCTTATTCTCATGCAAAGCTCTGTAGTGCCTAAGCATGGATGAGGTGTTGTTGTTATATCCCAGCTCCCTGGCACATAGCAAACACTTCACCTTGTACAAAAGTCAAGACAGCTCAACATAAATTGTATTGCACCATCAGTATCATGACAATACATCTTCTGTAGAAATTTACATACCTTGTTGGGAGGAATAAAATCAAAATGTTCCCACACAGGGGAGGACATCCTCCTCTTCTTAGCTGGCTCCATTCTCTCCTGACTTTCTCTCCTCACTCTCATAAACCTCCAAACTGTCTCCAAACTCTCTCTAACAGCAACTCTCCATCAAACACCCACATTTTGAATGAAGTCTGAGGGTTTATATCGCTGTCATATCTCGCGGCAAAGTTCGAACCACTTCATGAACCAGTCACGTGGTACAGCCGGGCAGCGAGGCTTCGGACGTCATCATTTTCAGCTCCTCCCATAAATGAAGCAAGCCTCGATACGCGCTTCGCGGAAACGCCCCCTCCATTACTCGACACACGCTCCGAAGCCTCGATACAGAACGTCCCATCACTATAGATTACAGACAGATTAACAAATCTTCCTCTTTCGGCTGCTTCCTTTTGGGGTCGCCACAACGGATCGCGTCTCCAACTCACTCTATCCCCGTTGTCACGCAAACCCTCTGCGTGTCTTCCTTCACTACCTTCTCTGTGGTCTTCCTCTTTCCTCCTGTTTGGAAACTCCACATTGAACATGCTTTATCCAATGTACCCATTGCACATGTTCTAACCATCTCCTTTCCTCTCTAACTTTGTCTCCAAACTGCTTAACCTCAGCTGTTCTTCTGATATACTCATTTCTTAAGGCCAACGAGTGATTTAAAACTTTTTAAATACCAGCAACCGTTTTTAGCAAATATTTGCGATCACGTTTGGAAGATGACTTTTTTGCACAAGACTAAGATCAGAGCCCTCAAGTTACTAATTAAGGCCATTGCTTAGGTGAATGTAATTGCACAACCTTCTAAAATTTGATACAAGGTGCTTTGCCAGCTGTTTAAAACTATTAATCCTATCAATTAGTAACATGTACTTTATTTGCCAAGAGTTGCAATATGTTGTTAATAAAAATATAAATGCTAATAGGGGTTTTATAGTATTGAGTCAATCAAAAACATTGCTACACTTTCTGAATGCATGTGAGCATTAATGTGTTTCAACACACAAATTGTATCTCTAGTTTTCTTCTCCACACTTGGTTCCTGAATAAAAATAAGAAAACCTTTCCATAATAACAGCTGAGTGTTTGGATAGTTGTAACAAAATACACACAATTACCCCAAAAAAGATTTTATTTATCAAAAAACCCCAAAAACAAAACAGACATAAAACCACAACTGAACGTTTGTGAAACACAACAGTAAACAGCAGTAATGTGTCAGAGAAATGCTTTGGCTCGACTAAGCTCCACTAGGTGTCACCATGCACCCAGAAGATGGCAGCAGTTAGAGCATGGCTCATCAGAGGAGGGACTGAGAACGTCTCCTTGGTCACTTCTCATCATTTTTGCTTCCACTGGCTGCATCTGAATGTTGGGCTGCAAATAACATGGGAAAAGTTTTGTTAAAAAGACACTTATACACAACTGTTGTTCACTGAACAGCTGCATTGCAATTCATAAGGCATTTTGACTTGATTCTATTTACAAAGCTACATGAGTTACCAGTTTACTGTGAATAAGAAGTAAAGCTGGATTTTCTTATTTTCTGTTTTTTTATGCATTCATTATTCAGTCAAACCGCTTTGCCAAACCTTCACTTGGTGTCTAAGCCTTCAGAGCCTCTTGCAGAGTAGAAACTACCACATCAGGCTGTGGAAACTTCAGCTTACGAGGTGGGCCTTTCTTTATTCCAGTCCACAGAGATGTTTCTTTAGGAATCAGGAAGAAAATGTCATTTGTATCATTTCTTTTTTTTACAATGAAAGATCCACATTGCTGAGTAAATCCTGTTTACCTTTGCCTCCGTCCAGCAGAGTGATCTCGAAGCTGTTCCTGCGAGGTTTCCCAGGGTTGAGGACCACAGTCAGTTCAGGGTGGGCAGCCAGGAGGGCGGATTTCACCTCCTCAGCATTACGCCCGTACACTCGTCAGCTTTTACTGCCAGAAGTGACACATCAAGATTACATCTTTTTGCAGATTTTAAGAGTTGAGTTACACAGTGAACTGTGATGTTATCTATTTTGGTTCTGGTTCAATAATAATATAAACAGATTTCATGAGAACTATTGTTTTTTTTCCACCTAATCAATGCATTCACTTCTGATACTTAAACACTTTGATTTTGATTTTTAATTAAGTATTTTAAAATGGGGGCTATATTTACTCACTTTAAATAAACACAATTAGCATTTCCTTCACCACTGATTATAACGTGATTACATTTTTTTTTCTTTACCAGTGTTCAATGACCACCCTGAGGCCTTCCTGGCTGCTTTCATCCTCTCCTCTGCCCTTCTTTTCCTCCACTGAGGGTTTCTCCTCCTCTGCTTGAACTTCTGCTTTGCGCTTCTTCCCACCACGACCTACAAACACACATGCGCAGTTTTGTGTTTGGCTGTTTCTTGAATTTGTGCCTCCATATCTCATTTATCCTCTGTCCTTTTGTCCATGACCCAGAATTCAATCAGGCCGCACAATACTGAATGGAAAATTTCTAAAAACATCAATAAGACAGAGGAGACAGTGGCCTGCACAAGAAGCTACAATTGAGGACTCAAGGGTGTATCTTTAGTGGCTGCTTGTCAAAAAGTGAAATTCAAATTCACAATCAAAAGGCCAGTGATGCACAATGTGCAAGTGAAGTATGTAGGCAAAAGAAGTCAGTTTCCCAAAAGAAAAAATACATGCAGTTCATCGATTTACTTGATCCTTTGCAAGTAGCTGGCACATGTTGCTTCCCTTGCCATGGTTAAATAAAACCATAGGCCCCTTCCTGGTGAATGCTGGTCCTATGCCCACCCACCTACTTATTTAGCCTGAGGTGTCTTTGGCCTTAGTAGAGTCTTACAAAAGCCCAAAAATAAAGCAATCATCCATCCACCATCTTCTTCTGTTTATTCAGTTCAGGATTGCAGTTGGGCTGTAAGACTCCCAGCTTAAATAGGGCGACATGGGGTTTACACTGTGATCGCCAGTTTGTCACAGAACTCGAGTACAAAATAATTTCGGATGCAGCTGTGCTACATGTCATATTTAATGTATAACCTTATAAAATGAAGTAAAGAAGTCTGTTTTATAAATGCCTAATGCTCCAACTCCTCCTGTCATGCCCTTGGTGGGAGGAGAGTGAGTAGAGGAGGACTCGGGCACGTGCAAGCTCAGAAGTTTCATAACCCAACAGAATAGTAATAATAATGACCCATTTAATGAGTCGTTGCATAATAAACATGGTCAGAAAGGTCAGCGCGCCCACTCCTGCTACATTTAACGAGTTTAGAAAGTGAATAATGTAAATATCTTCGCAGTTACTACTTTGCTCCGGTGCATGTAGCCATTCAGCTAAATGACCTACAAAGACAGGCTGAAACAGTCATGGAGATGATAACCGCTGGATCAAAATGGTACAACCGTCTTCCTCCTCAGACAAACTCCGTTACAGCTTTTGTTGTAGAAAAAAAAATACGGTATTGTTTACATTCCTATAACACACACCCACCTGCTTTGGACGCCATTGCTGTTACAAAACTTTGGCGCGCGCATGTCGACTGTACCAATATATTTGGGAAGGGGGTTTCAGTTTGGCTGGGCGAAACCATTAGTAGGAAGTTTTCTGAGCATGAATGAAAATGAGATCTATCGTTATTATTTCTAATGTGTTAATATAATTACTGTAATTTAACTGAAACTGCATTTAAAGTAAAAATGCAAACCGTTTGTTAAACACATACAGCATTAGCATAAGTGTTCTTTTATTATCTTTGTATGTACCTATACATGAACAGGAATACATGGTGTTTGTATGGTGGCAACACACTTAAGCATATAAAGTTAAAGCAGTGAACGTGTGTTCCTGCCTGAGTAAATTAAACATATTTTTTGTGTTTATCTTGGTCCTGCTG